AAATCCTGTTGGTGTAACTATGCCTGTGCAAGGATCATGGCATGAGCAGCAAAGGGTGATTTATGCTAATTAGAAACTTCCTACTTCTGCAGGTTTTATAATTTCCAGGCAATTCCTTTCATTGTGTGGAAGCCGTGAGATGAGGTGAGGAGGTCTTTAATGACTAAGATGGCAGCAATGTCAACATGCAATGACATTACCATCAGAAGGTTTGTGTTAGTTAAAGAATTCCCCCTTCTGTCCCACAGCTCCCATGGCTTCCACGTGATGAAGGGGATTACTCAGCAGTTTCAAAAGACACGAGGACGAAGCAGGAAGTTTTCAATGACTGAAACTTGCCCTCTGCCCTTAACATCACCACCTTTCCACGGACATAAGTTCTGGAAAAGAATGTCAAGATTATTTTCAAACATTAAATATTGAGGCCCCTTTTCTCATGTTGTTCCAAAACTGTAACAGGTTTTGCATTAATGCATGAATTCTAATATGTTATCTCCGCACTTTCAAAGGGAGAGGGGGTGAAATTAGATTTTGAAGGCCTTGAGTGCTGTTGCCAGATAAGTGACAAGTTTAATGTTAACAGATTAAAATTAATTTCCAAGTTCCGGGAGGAGGGTGTGTGTGTCTGTGCCAATTTTGCTACCACCAGATACGAACCACTCTGTGAGATCTTGCCCTCAGCAAGTGCACTGCTGGAATCTAAATATCTTAGTAGATCACAAGTTAAATGTGAGTCAACTGTGCAGACAAACATGACTTATCACAGTACTAGGTTTCCTCAACATCAACAGATGTATAGCATCCTAAGAGAAGTAATGCCATTCTCTTTTGAAAATACCTTGCTTGAAATACTAAGTCCAGTTCTAGGAATATATATTGTTGTCCAGCAGTGTAATGGACTACCACAGAATCCTCTGGCTAGGAATTTTAAAGAGAGGTTGGAGGGCTTTCTGTCACACATGTTTCTGCTGTGTGTTTCTTGCTTCAGCAAAGGATTGGATGATTCTTCGGGTCTCTTCAAACTCTACAACTCTGTGATCCTATATTTTTACTAAACTATAAGGGGATGTGGTGGCGCTGTGGATTAAACTGCAGTAGCCCTTGTGCTGCAAGGTCAGAAGACCAGCTGTCGTAACATTGAATCCACGCGACGGAGGGAGCTGCCATCGCTTGTCCCAGCTCCTGCCAACCTAGCAGTTTGAAAGCATGTAAATGCGAGTAGATAAATAGGTACCACCACAGTGGGAAGGTAATGGCGTTCCATGTCTAGTCGCGCTGGCCACGTGACCATGGAAACTGTCTTTGGACAAACGCTGGCTCTACGGCTTGGAAACGGGGATGAGCACCGTGCCCTAGAGTCAGACACGACTGGACTAAATGTCAAGGGGAACCTTTACCTTTACCTAAAAGGTCATACATTTGTATAAAGGTATCAACGCAACCTGCAGCAAAATCATCAGATCATGGGACATCCATCTATAAAATCTATCTATCTATCTAAAACCCAGTGCCCCTCTGCACTATGCGTAGCTCAAACAGGGCAATCATTATGTGAAAGAATTAATGGACATAAATCAGACTTCAGAAATCACAGTACCCAGAAACCTGTCTCAAATCACTTCTGTCTACCATGATAGTCTTCACAAGATATGAAAGTTGCAATCCTGGACAAGAAAAAACTCTATTCTGTCTTTAGTATTGTTCCTATTGTGGATTTTAATGTGATAATTGTTTACTGCTTTTTAAAATATTGTGCTAACTTATTATTTGGTTTTAAACTGTGTTTCTTTTAGTACTTTAAGCTACCTTGGATCCTTTTGGAGAAAGGAGGAAAACAAACAAACAAACAAATATGACAGAACAGGAATCCTGAGGGATACAATTTAAACAAAATATATAAACATGCTGGACACCTATCTCAAAGGATTAAATATCAGCCAATGTTTTTTAAGGTGTTGCCGAATGTAATCATTATTTTGTTATCCACTGTTATTTTCCTTCACAACTACCAGACTCATCTTTCAGAACAAGTCAAGGGTAGAGTCTGCCATTTTCTGTGTTACCATGTGGTCCTCCTTCTTTTTCTTCTTTTAATCTTGTTGCTCTTTACAGAACCAAGCTTCAAAAGAACCGAACCAAACAGGGGTCATTAATCATTATTAGGCCTGAAAAGCAATCAAACGCCATGGCCCCTTTTATCTTAGAGGCTTGCATTAATAGTTTGCCATGTACTTCATAGGTCTGAAGTGGTGGACCGTGTTCCATGGATGCTTAACATTAAAATGTAGCAGTTAGCCTTAAAGGTGCCACAATGTCTTTCTTTTTTTCTTTCTGCTTTTGTTTTGTTTCTCTTGTCGAAAGCAACGTGCTCACCTGCTTGTGTGCTGGAACCCGGAAACTTTGGGAGTGACTTTGCGCTGGCCAGCCGTGCGATTTCTTTTTCCATCACCAAGGAAGACGAGAAAGGAGAGGCAAGGCGGCAGAAGGAAGGCAAGGAACAAAGGTGGGGGGAAGCTAAGTGCTTTGAAGGCAAGGGAGGGCTGGGGGGTGTAACAGAATGGATGCCCAGGAAACAGAGATGAAGAGACAGGGAATCAAAGAGAGGTACGCATGTTGAGAACTAAGAGACATGCCTGGCGTAGCCGCCAAAGCACCGAACACAAGAACGTGCGGGAAGGGAAGGAAGACAGTGCTTGAAGGAGAAACAGGAGGTAGAGGAGAGTTTATGACATTAAAAAAAACCTACACCTTTAATCTAATCAGAGATGGGGACACACGAAACACATATTTTCAAATCAGCGTGCCATTGCCAGCAGAGATGATGAATTTTTAATAACCCACGTCTTCGTGATTTGATCTGCATTGTTTACACGTCGAGAATAGCTGAACAACATCATCCACCGTTGCCTGGGTAGATCATTAAGAAGCAAGGGCAGAAACAGGTGCTTCTCTCTTCTGGACCTGGATGAGTCCCACTTTGCAATCTTCTAAAGAGAAGGGTTTTTTTAAAAAAAATCTCTCTCTATGTAGTCGCAATCAGAACACAGTTGTAGCGCAAATGAAACTCCCCATAATGCAAAGCTAGGTAGAGCGAGGCGAGTTCTCCGAGAACATCTGCAGTTTACATCAGAAATGGGAATGAGGAGGCTGATGGAATTTTTTTCCAAAAATTTTGATCCCATTTGAGAGTGCGGATACATCTGAAAAATTGGCTCAGGGCCACGATTTCACGAAGACACCAGTTCTACATGACGGGCATGGCTTCAGATGGTGATGCTGTGGGATGTGGGGTTTTTTTAAAATGTTCTTTACATTATGTAACATATCTGTTAAGCCACTGGGGAAGTTGATTTTGTCTTTGGGGTTTGGTATTAACTGGTAGGTGGAGGACTCGACCCTGTTTTGGTTTTCCATCTCAATCCAAGACCAATGTTGTGGATCAAAATTAATGGCTGAAATCCTGTTGTTTTATTGTGCAAGCTGGCAATTAATGTATCCCTGCTCAAACTCCTGAGCCAGTAAGAACATGTAGAATGCCAGCAGAGACTCATTAATTGCCAGTCAGCAGCCAGCAAATATTATGCTGCTTACCTTCTGTTTGCGTGCATAACAAAGTAAGAGGATTTCAGTCTTGTAATGACTGAAACTAATTGAGCCATAAATCCTGTAGAACAAGATCATTGAGCTTCTGATCTCTTAGAAGATGAACCCAGTGAACAGAAATCAACATGTATTAGCCTAGATCATACTTCTTATAAAGACTCCAGTTTGTGGTTTTGAAGATCAGGAAAGCGGGACATAAATTTTAAAAATCGACTTGATACCAACTGATGATGATTATTTGAGGCACAGGAGTGGGAGCTGGCACTCACAGTGTGCATCTCACCACAAATCCATTGTTGAGTAAGTGTAGACAAGCGGCAAGCGGTGGCTGCAACCTGCCCTTAGTGTGCATGAAAATTTGAAAATGTGTCACAAGTATTACTGTTGTGAAGTGCTCCGGGATTCAACCCTGCCTGGTGCCATTATCCCAGCGCACAAGCCATACAGCGCACATCCTTTATGCAATGGCACCATCTAGTGTCTTGTCTCCTCCTGTGGCTGCACGCAAATATTCTTCTAAGGCAGTGGCAGGTTGAGTGCTTGTACAAGTTCTGTAATCTGGCGTGTAGTACAATGGTGTCAGCATGCATGCCACCTTCAGGCACATGGGCAGTACTGGGGCCTTTCTTACTTCATCTTTTTATAGATCCATGGTGTCAGGGGACACATGTCCCCACTTGGACCGAGGCTGTGTCTGCATAATTTGGAGAAGCAGTCACAATGCGACAATTACACAACCTAGCATTTCTCCCTGCTTTCCTTGGTCTTTTTTCTTCCTTCCAGAGCATAGAGAACTTGCTGTGTTATTCACTTTTACCACAACCTAGCATTTCTCCCTGCTTTCCTTTGTCTCTTTTCTTCCTTCCAGAGCATAGAGAACCTGCTGTGTTATTCACTTTTACTCAGAAATCATCATCATCATCATCATCATCTTAGAACTGCAGAACTGGAAGGGACCCTATGGATCGTTGAGTTGTTGTTCAGTAATTTTAAGCAATGTTGTGAGCTTTAATCACGTCGTATTTCAATGAATTACCAAGTCACCTTCTTAGCAGTTTGAGGTCCAAGTCACCTTAACAATCAAGTGTTAACTCCTTGGAATTAGAGGAAGGCATGACAAAAAATTGTGCAAAATGAGCGAATGCCAAGAAGAGTACGCAAAATGGTCCCACACAAGCCTACGAACTCTGGATAACGGGAGTAAACGGCCACAAAAGAGATGCATTGACTGATGTGTTAAAAAAAAAAGAAATAAATCCCAAAAAACAAATAAACAAACAATAAATTATGAAGAACAAATCGGCTTTTGGAGCAGGGGGGGAAAACCCAGAGAAAATAACTAGAGGAAGAAGTAAAAAAAGGGAAGGGAAACTCAGATTTCAGTGACTCAGCCAAACTCAATCTTCCCTGCCCCCTTCAGCTCTTCCTTTTTTTCTTCCATCAGGCTTGCGACCGAAAAGAGAGAATTTTCCCCAAGTATCTGGTGGAGGTTTCTCACAAGGAGGTAAGTGACCCTTCTCGTCCAAGGATTTAACTTGCTTCTGCCTTACTTTTATTTTACTAGTCAGCCTTACCAGTCACTGTTTCTGTTCACATAGCACACAGTGTAGCTTAACAATGCTGTGTGTGTATAGACATCCTCAAGTCAATTCTGGTTATGATCCTTTTCAGGTTTTTCCAAGTAGAGAGTACAGAGAAGTGGTTCCCTGATCCCTTCTTCTGGGGAGGGATCCCTGGGACTGTGCAGCTGGCCCAAGGCCACCCAGGCTGGCTCTTCTGAGATGCACAGAGGGGGGAATCGAACTCTCAACTTCTGGCCCCATAGATCTAACTCACGGAGTATACAGTCAGCTGTGCATAAGCATGCATCAGAACAATCCAGCTTTTTAGCACTCTTTTAAAAAAAAAAATACTGTAACTCTTGCTAGGGCTGGATTAACTAGTGATTAATTTTCGCTTTTAGACTTTGCAATATGGATATTTGGGTTGCCATTGTAGCCTCACCTTGTTGTCATTTCCTCTCAGTTCAAATCTGACCCTCTCCTCTACTGCCCATGAAATAGCTTGCTTCGTTTTGCTCTCAATCTTTGCAACTTCAGTGTCTTGATTTCTCGGCCCTGAAGGTCCCCCTGATTCATTTCTCTCCAACCCTAACTTGCTTTCAGTTCTAGCGGCCAGTAGACCTGGGATTTTGGGGAACCTCTGTGCCCATAATTCAGTGAGAACCTTCCAGGCTAAATTATGGGAGCAGAAGTGCTTTTCGTCCCAACATCCCATCCTTAGTGACAGACTAAGTGGACTCTTTCCACAAAAGCTTGCATTAAAACATAATACTTAGGCTTTAAGGTGCCACACTATCTTTGTTTGCTTTCATTTTGTGTTGTGTTTCTTGTTGAAAGGCTTTGCATAGACTAACTTTTTTTAAAAGGGGTCTTTCTATCAACCTTTTTAAAATCTGGAGACATTAGGAAGATCTCCCACATGCAAAGCATCTGGTGTCTTGTTGCGTTACCAGATAACTCTCATTGGGTTGCTACAGGATGTGCGAAATCCTTTTTTCATCCTCTCTTTGGATGGGGGAATTAAGTCCGGCAAGGAAGAAGGAGCTCTAGAGAGACTCCGAGATGAGAACAAAGACTTTCATGGTGTTCTGTCTTGACGTCAACAGAGGCAACATGGGGATCCAAGTCTGGTTGGCAGCTTGTGTGCTGGTTCTGGTCCTGGAGACTGCGAACCCTCAGCAAAGCGTATGTCAAGCACCCAACGGGAGAGACGGACACCCGGGGGCTCCGGGCCGCGACGGGAGACCAGGACAGAAGGGTGACGTTGGTGAACCAGGTAGGTCTCTGGTATTGGAGAGCACAGTGAAGAAGTGAAAAAAAAGGCAATACCTTAGTTTGAGGGCTGGGGGAACAGTTTATGGACCCTGGGAATGGAGAGGGCTATCTTTTATAGAGAACAAAGCTGGTCTGAGATACTTCCTACCAGAGGAAGAAGAATGGGTGGTGCACGAGACAGCATCCCCTCCTCATTCCATTATTCGGAACATTTCTGAAAATTAAGAGTAATACTAATAACAGAAGCAGCAGCAGCAACCCCTAACTGTTGCTGTGTTTGTTTATTTATTTTTTTCATGCTAAATCCCAATGTTGGGTTGCCTCTCACCCGTTGAATCAGTGGCTTACATTCCACAGCTAGTCACACCCAGAGTGGGCCCACAACATCAACGGCCTTGCAACCAGTTGCTAGTTGCAGCTAGCGGTGACCCACGGCTGAATGCTAAGCCAACTCTTCCTATTTCTGATGGGACTCAGTGGGTCCACTCTAGTTTCAAGCAGCAGTTGGAGGTGAGCCAATGGGATGTACACAGATGTTGGCTTGTTGTCGTAGGCCATCCAGTTGCTTCTGACGTAGGGCAAGCCCATGAATGAGCACTCTCCAAAATGTCTTCTCAATAGCCCTGCTCAGCTCCTTCTTCTTTTCCTGCTGCCTTCCACCTTTTCTGGAAAGCTGGCTCACCCTTTAGTTGGTCAGGACCAGCAATTTGGATTTCTGTGCTTCTAGTTTTAGGGTCTGTTTTACAAAGTGTCCTGAGAGCTTCTTCCATGGTGGCACCACCAATGGAGAACCTTGGTGGCACCTTAGAGGTGGATCACTTTCATTTAACCTAGGTTGGCAGCGTCTTCTGACTGGATGCAATTAACACGCACTCTTCTCTCCTTTCATTCAAGGGATGGCTGCCAGGAGCACAGGGGTACGGGGAGCCAAAGGTGATCCGGGGGACCCCGGCCCACCTGGCAACCCAGGGAACCAAGGCTACAGAGGCCCAGATGGTCCTCCAGGCCCTCCAGGGGAACCAGGAAATAAAGGCATCAAGGGACAATCCAGCAACATTGCAGAGCAGCCCCGAACGGCTTTCTCGGCAACACGGAAGAGTCCCGGACCCACCCCGAATCCCAACGTCGTAGTCTTTGACCACATCATCACCAACCAAGACAACCGCTACAGCACACAGACGGGCGAATTCACCTGCAGGCACCCAGGCTACTACTACTTTGCCTTCCAGGTGGTCTCCAGCGGGAACCTGTGCCTCCGACTCATGCACAGAGACGCCACCGTGGCCACCTTCTGCGACGAGAACCAGCAAAACAACTTCCAGGTCAACTCAGGAGGCAGCGTCCTGAAGCTGGCCGAAGGGGAACGCGTCTGGCTGGAGAGTGATCCCAAGTCCGGGAACGGCAACATTTACGAGGGCCCCGAAGTGGACAGCGTGTTCAGTGGCTTTTTGCTTTTTCCATCCATAGCCTGAGCAGCTGCGAGGAAGAGATGAGACCCCTCTCTAAATATCCCTTGCCTATCACTTCTTGCTACCATTCCTCCTATGGACATCTCCCGTCTCCTAGGCTAAAACCTCCCCTGCCTTCTACATCAGTTCAATTCCGGCACTAAATAAATGCTTACCATTTGAAAACCGTGTTCTTCCCTGTTTACTGTTTATTGTAAAGGTAAAGGTAAAGGTTCCCCTTGACAATTTTTTGTCCAGTCGTGTTCGACTCTAGGGGGCGGTGCTCATCCCCGTTTCCAAGCCATAGAGCCAGTGTTTGTCCGAAGACAATCTTCCGTGGTCACGTGGCCAGTGTGACTTAGACACGGAACGCTGTTACCTTCCCACCAAAGTGGTCCCTATTTATCTACTTGCATTTGCATGCTTTCAAACCGCTAGGTTGCCGGGAGCTGGGACAAGCGATGGGCGCTCACTCCGTCGCGTGGATTCGATCTTATGACTGCTTGGTCTTCTGACCCTGAAGCACAGAGGCTTCTGCGGTTTAGCCCACAGCGCCACCACGTCCCTTATACTGTTTATTGAGACCCAATCTAAATAATATAAAAATTCCATGCTGTCAAGCCAGTTCTGACTTATATGACCCTTTTCAGGGTTTTCTAGGTAGAGAAGACTCAGAAGTAGTTTGCTCTTCCCTTCTTCTGTGGGGGATCCCTGGGACTGTGCAGCTGGCCCAAGGCCACCCAGGTTGGCTCTACGTACAAGTGGCCCAGTGGGGGGAACTGAACTCCCAACCTCTGGCTACACAGCCAGCGACCCAAACCAATGAGCCAACTATTGAGATGCTGATAATATAAAAAAATAATTTACTTAAATGGCAAGGAAGGGAAGAAACAACGGAAAGAACCCCGTGATACCTTAGAGGGGATGACTCACAGTCCTATCCGTGTTCATGTAATGTTTGTTTAACCTGATGCTGCTAATTGTGGCTAACTCAGGAGGTGCCGGTGTGTGTCTCCCTCTTGCATATCATCATGTGCCCAGCTGAGCAACCAACACATGCACCTCATCAATTAGCTACAATTGCTCACACCATGGCACAAACTTTATATGAATCCCAACAGCCTTCCAGCTAAAAGTTTTATTTGAAAATATTTGTGCACCTTTATTGACTTCCTTGGGCACTTGCAGGGTATCTTTTGCTGCTGGAATTTATTCACATGTGAGGATGAGCAAAGAATTGGGGTGTGTGTGTCACAGGAAGGTAAATGGTAGAGATATTGATCAGTGTTTCTGCCATGGGTGTTTAAAAATACCTGGCGAGCAGTGAAAATGATGTCCCAGCATAGATCAGCAAGTGAACACTGGTTAGGTGACAAAAAGTTTGAGTCTAACCCATGAAGCAGACATATGCATACAAGGACTGGAAGACAATCCAGACAGCCTGTAATAGATGAGCTGGTTAATCTATGGTCTGAAATCCTAGTCATGTTTGCATAGGGTTTACATAACTTGCTGGAGCTAATTGTGGCTCATTGATGAGATGCTGGGACACAGTTATGCAAACTTTATGTGAATCCCAGTAGGATTCTGGCCATGAAGTGTGATTTAAAAGCCTTTATCCCTCTTCAGGCCCAAGAAGATGAAGATGAACTTAAGGGTTGCATTTAGAGATGTTTACATTTGGTGGAGGGCTTCCTATCTCAGGAGGCTTTGAGTCCTCTTTCCCTCCTCCTGCATTTCTGGAAGAGGTAGCACTAAGGCAGTGTCTTTCTTCCAAAAGAATTACAGCAATCTTGATGTTTCTGGAGGCTGAATCTACTTACTGTTGCTGAGTGCTGACTTCTGATAACAAAATGGAACCTCTTGGGCTATGCAAGGAATGTATGCTTGCATCCCATCATCTCCAGATTACTTCTGCACATGTAGGGATCACTTTTGTTGTCTTCAGTAGGCATACTTGGGTGCAAGGAGATATAGTGTGTGTCTTTGCACAACCACTGAGAAAGCCCCACTTCTCATGGAATGGAGCACCATGTAAGTGGAACAAGGTTGCAAGATTCGAGCCTTGGGTCACCGCCATCTCCTCAATGTGGTTCTCAGACCAACCCTGTGAGGTAGGCCAGAGTGAGAGAGCCATGAGTTGCCTAAAGTTACTCAGTGAGTTGAATGGTTGCATAAAGATTAGAACCCAAGTCTCTGTAGACCTGGAGAAACTTCTGAACCACTTCCAAGTTCAGGGAGAGAGAATCATGATTGCCAAAAATAAGGGTGGTTAAAAATGCATAGGACGGAGAGCTGAAAGATGAACAGGATAGAGACAGGAAAGGGGAAGGGCCAGTTCTTGGTTCTTGCGGGCCACCAACTTCCCTGTTGTGAAGCACAATTTTGCAAGCACGAGCTTGCCCCTTGCCCCATGCTGAGCTGGCCTTCGGGGTCCCTTGCAGCTCCAGATTGTCTCCTTGCTGAAAGAGTCCAGCTGATTCTTCAAGAGGTAAGAGAGGGTGATCGTGGCTCTGATTTCATATAGTTTCAAAAATGCTGCTATCTCAGGGAAAGGCATTTGGCGCGGGGAGGTTTAGGAGATCAAGATAGAGATGATATGATTCAAAAAAGGCTCCTGTTTTGAGTGGTTACAAATGGGCTTGAATCGTTGCCAAAACGGTTGGAATGGTGATATGAAGGCTCGGTGGGGGGCACAGAAAAAAGGGGTGGCATTTCCCCTGCTTATCACCTAACAATCAGGGAGGGGTAGTTTCTCCACAGTTCTTTTTGATCCCCTCTTCCTGACCCTCATAGCACTATTCTAGAAGTTGGGGCAAAACTCTGCATTACAGGTAGCCCATCATTGGAAGAAGAATTTCCTTATATGTTGAAAACCTCTCATTGTTACAATAGCAGCTGTCGCATAATTTGCAAAATAGCTTGTTATGTTTTATGATTGCTTGTGGAGGGGGATAAGCACGAGGTTTGCAAGCATTCTCAGACACAAAAAATATCTACCTGTCTCTAGAACACCGGTATGAATTTTCAGCTTCTCATGCTAAGTTATCTGTAACATGTGATTTCGCCCCAAGATGTTTAGGGAGATGGTTCTACAGCCCTCAATCAGACTTTTTTCCCCCCCTGGAGTTTGGATGGACAAGCTATCCATAGCACTAGACATACCGATCATAAGCGTTTTCCTTCACAAAAGAAAAGTCAGCCTTATCAAATCTTCCTCAAATAAGAAACATTGAAAACTGCTAATACACGGGGGAAGACGTTGCATGGCTGAGTTTGATTCTTTGTAAACTTCATGCTGAAGAAATATAAAGGAAAGAACAGAGACTTCTTATAAGGACTTAGCCGAGGGAGTTTGGGGTGTGAGGGCTGTTATAGTAAAACTAGGCTGAAGTTTCCCTCAGAGGCTACCTTTTCTTCTCTTTCCTTATCTCCACAGATAAAAAAAAGATGGACGTGGGTTCCAGAATGCTCCCGGGTTGGGGGTTTGTCGTTCTTTTCCTGATTCTGGCTGACTTATCTTCAGGCGTTGATCCTCCGCACTATTGCTATGGGACACCGGGTCTCCCTGGGGTCCCTGGGTCTCCGGGCATGGATGGCAGAGATGGCCAGAAAGGCTCCAAGGGAGAGCCAGGTATGTAACCAGCTCATGGTGGGAATCCCCTCATCCCCAAAAAAAGACTTTCTCCAGTTTAGCAGATAGGACCACCTGCTATTGCACTGGGTTGGAGGTCCGCCATTTTGTTTGGCATGAGATCCACCATTTTGTTTAGGGCATGGAAGAACAAAGCTTTTGGACTTCCACATCCTGAGACCATGGCTGCTGTTGCCAGGAGTAATAAGCAAGTAGACGTAATCATAGCAGTTATTAATTATTGCTCGCTCAGCTCAATTTAATTCAACTAACCAGTTTTTCCTGATATTCAGCCCAAATCTGGCTTCCTTTAACTTGAGCCCATTGTTGTGTGTCCTGCACTCTGGGACGGTCGAGAACAAATCCTGCCCCTCCTCTGTAGGACAGTCTTTCAAGGATTTGAAAAATGCTATCCCATGTCTTTGTCTTTTTTGTTTTGTTTTGTTGTTTCTTTGGATTTTGAATGATCTACTGGATTTCAGCCATGGATTAGGAGTCAAAATTCGGCAAAGTGAGGCCACCAAGGATTTGAAAAATGCTATCCCATGTCTTTTGACTTTTTGTTTTGCTTTGTTGTCTCGTTGGATTTTGAATGATGTACTGGATTTCAGCAGTGGATTAGGAGTCAAATTCAGCAGAGTGAGGCCACCGTGTCTCAGAAGCAAAATTCTGAGGTGTTAATGCTTCTCCTCCTGCTCCTTTCCCTAGAAAAAGTAGGATACAGTGCAGAATTACCAAGAAAGAAAGAAAGAAAGAAAGAAAGAAAGAAAGAAAGAAAGAAAGAAAGAAAGAAAGAAAGAAAGAAAGAAAGAAAGAAAGACCCTCCACCTTTTTATGAGATCTTTGGCATCTCTGTTTACCCCTTCTCTGCCCTCAATAGTACCTCAGAAATGATGCCAGCTCTGTGGAGGAGTGAAAATGGTGGCCAGGCTGCCAATATATCTGCTGGCTGTTGTTATCTCTAGCAAAGAAAGAATCAGACAAATCCACAGGTTTATTAAGGAAGGAAGAAGCTCTCAGGGGGAGTCAAAACCCTGTTGCAGAATTTATTATCTCCCGGAGAAATTTAGTGACCCTGTGTAGAATTTTCAAGGGGTGGCTTAGGTGGAATAGCTATAAACCAGTATGTTCCCTCGCCTCTTTCTGCCCCCCCCTTTTAATTATTATGGAACTGATGCTGGACATTATGGGATGGCACCATGGCCACCCACCCAGAACTGGCCCACACTTGATGAGTTTTTAGGAAGATTCCTGGATCATGGACAATCTGATCAAGCCCTGGGGCGCTTCTAGGGAGCTCCCTCAGAACATGACTTGGTAATCTTTAGGTCAGCTTCTTTTTGGCCACCACCACCTATATTTGTTTTGAGGGAGGGCAGATCATTCTTGAATGGAGAGAGAGACGGAGAACCCATACCCTCTCTCTTGGGGTATCAAATCTAGGAGAATTTCAACTCCTCTGAGTGGCAAGGACAGATCTGGAGGCCTTTCCACCTAATTATTCTCCAGCCCATCCTTTTGTTATCTCTTGGTAGTTTTCCATGGCTTTCAAACATTCCTTTCGACTGATGGCGCGTGGAGCACAGGGTGGGTGATCCCCAGATTAATGGAGAGGTGGGACCCACAGCTCATCCTTTAATGTTGTGGTGATCCCTTCTTCTCAGAGTTCTTTTGGGGGGGGGGATTCTGGAAGTGCCTTTTCCAAAGTCTGCTTCTCTTCTTCATCCTTCCTTTTCTTTGAACTGTCCTACTTTGCAGGGATCCCAGCCCTTTCTGGCAATCAAGCTCTCAAGGGCGAGAGAGGATCTCCTGGTTTGCCCGGAAAGACTGGCCCGAGAGGGCCTTCCGGACCTCCGGGAGAGCCCGGTCCGAAGGGAGAAGATGGTGAGCCAGGAGAACTGGGTGGCTACAAGCGGAGTCATCAATCCGCCTTTACGGTCATGCGGCAGACGGCTGAGTATCCTGAGAAGGACGTCCCCGTCATCTTCAACAAAGCCATCGCCAACACGAACCAAGACTATGACGTCAGGACCGGCAAGTTCACCTGTCGTATTCCTGGCCTCTACTACTTCGTCTATCACACGTCCCAGACCGCCAACCTCTGCATCAACTTGTATCTGAACCAGGATAAAGTGACCGGTTTCTGTGACCACATGTCCAACACCAAGCAAGTCAGCTCAGGCGGCATCTTGCTCAGGGTGGAAAGGGGCCACCAGGTATGGCTGGCAGCCAATGACTACAACGGCATGGTGGGGATCGGTGGATCAGATAGTGTCTTCTCAGGCTTCCTGCTCTTCCCAGATTAGAGAGTGGGTCTGAATGGGCTCATCAGAACGTTGAGTACAGTTTCTCTGCAAGTATTCAAGCTGCTCTTATTTGGTCTTATATAGCCCGATGGCTCTCATGCTTTTTCACCCTTGCTCCACAAATATTTTCATGGGGAAAAAATGAAAATATTTAAAAAAAAATCTTAATAAAACTGTTCTTTGCTCTTTCTCCTTGTTCGTTATTGCATTTTTACAGTCTTTCCATCATAAATGACAAAAAAGAAGAACATGATTAAAATTAAGGGCACACACAGACTTCCTGATCCTATACAAAGTTTAGGGACTTTTAAAGAGATCTTCATTTGGTCTATCTAGGGCAGTGGTTCCCAACCTTGGGTCCCCAGATGTTCTTGGACTACAACTCCCAAAATTCTGGCTAGCATAAGTCATAGTGAAGGTTTCTGGGAGTTTTAGTCCAAGAACATCTGGGGACTTGAGGTTGGGAACCCCTGCTCTGGACCAGTTATTTTCAAACCAGGGTCCCCAGATGTTCTTGGACTGGAATTCCCAAAAGCCTTCACCTTTCGGGGAGTTGTAATCCAAGAACATCTGGGGACCCTAGTTTGGGAACCACTGGTCTAGAGGGACAAGTGCCCCCATGTGACTCCATAGGATGCTAACCAGCTTGAAATTCTCTTCTGGACTTGTACTGGAATGACAAAAGAGCTGTAACTTTTTGAAGGTTTTGCACGAACATATGGGGAACTTAAGAGATATAAGCGGATTTAAATAGAAGACTAGTTTTGAGACGGTTAACTTCATGGGATTGCAAAACCAGTCTCCTTTAAAATATGGTTCTAAAACAAAAAGGAAAAGGGAACCAGTTTATGCTATTTGTATCTTCTCCAACTCGATTTGTGGCCTGGACACAAACCGATTTGTAAATCTGCTTCACCCCTCTTTGGAAACTAACTGTAGGCCTTCTCGAGCCAGATCTCACACAAATGTGTCCAGATCCGACCAAGTGAGCTCATAATTTGAGATTTATCCTGAGCCGCTGCCATCCTGATGAAAGCAGAAATGCGAAAAATATAAATACAGACGAATCCAAAGTCCACAGAAATACGTATACTAAAAACCATTAAACAGTCAGAGGTATTAAAATTTCATCTAAAAAATTTGCATTCTCCACCTCCTTGGAACCACTTTTTCTGAAAATCCAACGTGGCTAAAATATAAATAAATGCAAATGTCATTATGAGCAAACATGAATCAAATAAAACAGGGCCAGCCATTGTGTTTTTCTTGCTTTGCCATTACAGTAACCTGGGAGTAAATCAGTAAAGGGTATAGACCTTACTTCTCAGTAACCTCCCCAAAAGTGTGTGATCTAGGGAGACTTGTGTGTTTATGGTGGCCCTGTAGGGAAAATTTTAGAATCCTAGAAACATGGAGTTGGAAGGCACCTTGAAGGCCATCAAGTCCAACCCCCTTGCTCAATGCAGGAATCCAAATAAAAATCGGGGTGGCTATCTTTCTCTGGAGCGTTTGAAGGCCATCAAGTCCAACCCCCTTGCTAAATGCAGGAATCCAAATAAAAATAAGGGTGGCTACCTTTCTCTGGAGCGTTCACCATCTCTTGAGGTCATTGGTTCTGTTGTCACACTGCTCTAGCAGTTAAGATGTTTTTCCTGATATTCAACTGAAATCTGGTTTCCTGTAACTTGAGCCCATTACTACATGTCCTGCACTCTGGGATGATCGAGAACATATCCTGCCCTTCCATTGTAGGACAGCCTTTCAAGTCTTTGAAAAGGGCTGTCTTATCTCCCCTCAGCCTTCTTTTCTCAAGGCTAAACATGCCCAGTTCTTCTAGTCTTTCCTCCTAGCAATTGGTTTCCAGCCCCCTGATCCTCCTTGTTGCCCTCCTCTGAACTTGCTCCAGTTTGTTGGCATCCTTCTTAAAGTATGGTGTCTCACCCCGGCTGAGAAATCAAGGCAGGGTTTTGTTTTGGTTGGCATCCTTCTTAAAGTATGGTGTCCACCCCTGCATTTTGAGATCCTTCAGGGCTGAGAAATCAAGGCAGGGTTTTTTTGGGGGGGGGGCGGAATTAGCAAAGGGGTAATTTTGAAAAATAGCCATAATTTGGAATTACACCACGGCAAGTCATGGCAGTCTGGGCTTTTTGATATTCTTTTCATTGATGATGCCAAGGTATAGAGACGGTTTCTTAGGGCAAATGATCAACCGCTTTGCCTGGGATCTACCTTCTCCCCGAGCACAGGTAATTGGGTCCCCTTGCGCTGAACTGCTGAGTGTGTGAAAGAAAATAGTAGAAAGAATGCAAGTGAATAAGGGAACTGTCCAGCATTTAGATGAGGCACAACGGAAATCATGGCAGGTCAGACCTTTTCTAACTTGGGAGCAGGGTGATATTCCTCCCTTTCTGCTCTTGAGCCAAATTATGGAGAAAATAAATAAAGAGTGAGAGAGTGTTCATGGAAAAAACTGCATCCATGTTTACATGGTTGTATGCATGAGAAGGAGAGAGTGCTCACCTCCGTGTGATGGAGAAATTGTACACATGTGTTTATCAATACTGCATCTGACTCTTCACACTGGCCCTCATCTCTGGTAGTACCGGCCATCAGACGTTGAGTCTTCTGCCTCCCAAACCACACAGGCCACCATTGACCACTGGAGCAGGGGTGAAATGTGGAGCTCAGTGGTTTAAGGCAGTGGTCCCCAACCTTGGGCCTCCAGATGTTCTTGGACTTCAACTCCCAGAAATCCTGGCCAGCAGAGGTGGTGGTGAAGGCTTCTGGGAGTTGTAGTCCAAGAACATCTGGATGCCCAAGGTTGGGGTCCTCTGGTTTAAGGTATCTGGCTGTGGAGCCAGAGGTTGGGTGTTCAATTCTCTACTGTGCCTCTTTGCCAGGAGCTGAATTTGATGATCTATAGTGTCCCTTCTTGCTCTGCTCATTGCCCATTGATAAGCAGAGGCTGGTTAGCAAAAATTCATTGCATCAAAGACACACACACACACACACACACACAGAGAGATCGTAAATCAGAGACACACACACACACACACACACACACACACACACACACACACACACACACACACACACACAGAGAGACCTACCTGCAGAATTGAAGGCTTGTTCATCTGACCATAATCTCCTAATGCAGTGCTCCCAACCTTGGGTCTCCAGATGTTCTTGGACTAAAACTCCCAGGAACCTTCACACTGGATATGTTGGATAGGATTTCTGAGAGTTCTAGTCCAAGAACATCCAGGGACCCAAGGCTGGGAACCACTGGAGTCGTGTTTGTGACCTGACGCTGGAGACACCCGGGGGACCCAAGGTTGGGAACCACTGGAGTCGTGTTCGTGACCTGACGCTGGAGACACCCAAGACCTTCAATCTGTGAAGGATCATGGCCTTTCTGCAGAGTCAAGCCAGCATGCATGAAGCTCGGGAAGACAACTTTTTTGATTGCAACACCCAAGATCCCCTATCTTTGTTTGCAATAGGGAACTTTTTGAGCCCCTGGGTTTAGAAATGTCTTTCTGGAGTTTCCCCTGGAAGTAAAACCAAGAGTTATGCCAGATTGAGTAACAGTTGCACGAGGACAGGAGAAAGTGCTGAGACACTCGAGTTGCTTTCACGAGGAAGTCCCGAAAAATCAGTGCAGGTTGTTCCGAAGCCCACCAGCTTTTGGGAACACGCCTTTCCCCCCGAGAACATCTGACTGCAAAAGAAGGTTCCGGGAAATTTCTTGCAGGATTTGCACAAACCGTCCAGGAAACCCAAACCAACCAAACCCCCCCCATAACCGAACCCACTTCTCCCCAGCTGTGGTAAGGATTGGATGTGAAACTGCTGACCCAGCGTGAAGGGAGGGAAGGCAAGAAAGGAGAAGCAGCCGCCTGTTTCCTTTCGCCACCAAAAAGCGAAATATGGACGGAACGGACATTGGCTGACTCTTGTGTGTGTTGGGGGGGCGGTTTTGTGAGAGGCAAAGTGTGTCCCTGTTGAGCAACCCATCGCCCTGTCTCCGCAGTGCTTCAGTCAAGGCCTCGAGCAGATCCTTCCGTGCTGTTTTACGGGGTCGTCAACTGGTTGCAAGGTATGGGAACGCTGTCTACCAGGACCCTTTTCATTCCTTGGGATATGTGTGTGTATATGTGTGTGTGTGTGTGTGTGTGTGTTGGAGGGAAACTGGCTTCTTGGCTACGAAGCCAGAGGTTTGGAGTTTGATTTCCCCATGATGACTTCTTTAAAGAGGCTGGACTGGATGATCCAGAGGGTGCTTTTTCCAGCTCTGCAGTTCTAAGACAGGAGAAACACATCTGGATGACATCTCTTTGAATCGGTCCCCTAGCTATCTTCTGACTTAGGGCGAGAGATGGAAAGAGCCACACTGAAGACATCCCCCACGCTTGGGAATTTCATGGCTTACAGAGGGCTTGAAGCCAAGCCCACCAGACAGAGTGTTGAAATAGAACTCCAAAGGTCTGGGTTCAAATCCCCATGCAGCCTGGGAGCAAGCGGCAATTGTAAACTCCTTTTTGAACACCTCATACGCTCACAACTGCTGGATCGCTTTGTGGTTTAGATAGGGGTTGGGAGATCAATTCCTGACTGTGCTTCCTTGGCAGGATCCAGACTCAGTGACCCCTAAAGCCCCTTCCGTCTCTGCAGTTCTAAGATGATTATGATTATTATAAATCGGAAGCAACTTGGTGTTGTATAATGGCAAGTTGCAAGAGCCGAAGATTGTTTCCTTCTTAGACCACACGTCCCAGAATCCCCCAGCCAGCATGGCAGTGGGAGTCCCAAAGTTACTAACTATTCTAAACCTTGCTCCCAAATCATTTCAAAGGGTGGGAAAGCTTCCCATGGCATAGAACTTCTCTTTGCATGCTGCGAAAGCAAGGAAAGCCAATTTGAGGGAGGCAGAGATCAAACAGCAGTTATATATATAAGGATTCCGCATGAAATGCATGAACAAGTTCTGAACAGGGCTTAGACTGTAATCATGGCAGGTCTGAAGCACGCTCTGCCGGCTTAAATGCAAGCTTCTCCTCCAGCCTCTCTCTCTTCCTTAGACTTTCCAGGATGTTAAGCACCAAGGCGGCGATGTGGGCAATGCTGCTGTGGTTATCTGCAGCCTGGCGGGTTACTGCTGCGGAGACCTGTCAGGGACCCACACTTATCCCCGGGATCCCTGGCATGCCAGGAGCGCCGGGGACCAATGGCCGAGATGGAGTGGATGGGACGAAGGGCGAAAGAGGTAAGGAGGAAGATGGAGGGAAGGGGCAAGGGGTTCATCCCAGAGGGTCTTCTACAAGGGCACTTGTGCAAGGTGAGCTGCTAAGCACAGCTTTCATGCACAGCTCCCCCCCCCCAAAGCTGACCTATGATTTGTTTTGGTGGGGGAGAAGAGGCAAGATGTGGAGGACCCATGGATGCCTCTGTCATGGATCCTCCTATCATAGGATCATGGAATCGTTGACTTGGAAGGGGCCCATAAGGCCAACACTTCCAACCGCCTGCTCAAGGCAGGGATCCAAAGCAATGCAGATCTGACAGAAGGTTGCCCCATGTTCTCTTGAAGGCCTCCAGCGTTGCAGCGCTCATCATCTCCAGAGGTCATTGGGTTCCTTTGTTGTACTGCTCTAACAGTTAAGAGTTTTTTTCCTGATATTCAGCCAAAATCTGGGTTCTTGTAGCTTGAGCCCGTGACTATGTGTTCTGCACTTTGGGATGATCAAGAAGAGATCCTTGCCCTTCCACCCTTCTGTATGACTATCTTTCAAGTCTCTGCAGAGCCAGAGGTTGGGAGTTCGATTCCCCCCACTGGGCCTCCTTGACAAGGGCAGGACTCAATGGTCCAGAGGGGGGCCCTTCCAGACCTGAAGTTCTAAGATGACGATGATTCCTTCTGCAGGTCCTCCAGGAAAGGTGGAAAACTACAGAGACCTCGGGGAACTGGGTGACCCAGGAGAGCTGGGTTATCCGGGCAAAGTGGGCCCAAGAGGAGGAGCCGGTTCCAAAGGCCCGCCGGGTCCTCCCGGCCCTCGTGGGCCCAAAGGGGATTCCGGCGACTACAAGACCAGCCTCAATTCGGCCTTCTCCGCCTTCCGGACCATCTCCATGCTCCCTCGGCGAGGGCAGCCCGTCCGCTTCGACCGCCTGCTCACCAACGTCAACCGGCACTACGAGACCCGCTACGGTCGCTTCACCTGTGAGGTCCCGGGCCTGTATTACTTCACCTACCACGTCAGCTCCCGGGGGAACCTGTGCCTCCACCTGAAGAAGGGCCGAGGCAGCGAACGGGGAGAGAGGGTGGTGGCCTTCTGCGACTTCGTGTACAACACCTTCCAGGTCACCACGGGAGGGGTGGTGTTGCGCCTGGCCCGGGGCGAATCCGTCTGGCTGGAGCCGACAGAGAAGAACTCCCTGATCGGGGGCTTGGAAGGGGCCGACAGCGTTTTCTCGGGCTTCTTGCTTTTCCCCGATAGCTAAAGAAAACCTTCCGGCTCACGTCCAACTTGATAGTACCAGATGTGGCTGAGCTGATCTCAGAAAGCCCCTGCCCTAGAATGCCACTTTGGCCCCATTCCGGATCCCGACCCGCCTCTCTCTGACCAAGCCCAGCGTCCAAGGGACACCCATCCCCGTATCCTTCTGAGAAAAAATAAACACCAGTCCAACAGATCTCTGTGCTTTCCTTGAAAACCAATAAAGGACTCCTTTTGCTTTCACCTGCACTGCTGTCGTTTTCACTCCTGCTCAGATCTGGTGGGACTGTGTCACCGCCGATCAAACTGTGATCCTTCCCCACGTGCTAAACTGGTTTCTGAACCAGATGGCGGACGGCGGATGGGTCTACTACAGCCCTCATTTCTTCCCTGCAATGCTGGTTGACACCACCAATGGCCATCAGGGGGCAGCAGACGCTTAGCTATTTCTGGCCAGGCTTACCGGCCAGGGTGGGATGATCCCTTCCCCAGACCATGTGCAGAAAGTGTTCCAGGAATTCTAAGCGGGTTTGTCCTTTCAGTCTCCTTCTCTAAGCAGCCTTATGGGGAAGTTTTCTCCTTTTTTTTGTGGGGCTGGGATCCAGGGGGTTGATCTTCAGAAGGCTTTTGAGGGTTTGCCCTCCCCTTATCCAAATTCTCGTGGTTCTTCTTCTTTAAAATAAAAAAGAAATCAGGGGGACACTTCTGGAAACTTTTGGGAACTTTCGGCATGCAACTTTGATCCCAGCTTGGACATTTTTGACTTTTCAGCTTTAGAGAGAGGATTGAGATGACAATTTTTGAGAAGGAGGCTATGAAATCTTAACCGAACTCTTGCAGCTTGGTTTGGGGGCCAGTCTCAGCTCTTGCGGCCCCTCTCCCTTTTCCGTAACATCATCTGCAGTTCCACGGTAGGGGAGATGTTCAAGAAGTGGTTAACCACTGTCACCTGCAAATCCATGACGGAGCAAGGATTTGAACCCAGTACTTCTGAGCTCTGACACTACCTTGGCTCTCACATTGTAACATTTCTGCCATTCTGACAACCTGATGAATGAATGGCCTCTGGAATGTCCTCTCCTGAACAGCTCTGCTGTTGCAAACTTTACCTATGGCTTCCTTTATGAAGTCAGACCATCCTTTGACCTTCCTCTTTTCCTACTGCCTTCGGCCTTTGTCTTTTCCAGCTGAATCTAACTCCAACACAAACTGTATAGCAGTAGCGGATGGTGACTCTGGTGTCGAGGGTGAATCTGTGCTGGGTTTTCAGTCCAAACTTTAGAAGATGCATGCGAAGTGCTGAATCTTGTGTTTCCTTGTCTAATGATAAAGCTGGTTCTAGAGCAGTAGAGGCCAACCTTGGGATCCTTGACCATTAGATCTACTGGCCAGGATTTCTGGGTGTCATAGTCCAAGAACATCTGGGGACCTGAGGCTGAGAACCACTACTCTAGAGGAAAGAAGGCAGGGCTAACTGCGGTACTGCAAACCTTTGGTCTCTCCAGCTTGAAGACGGGGATTCAGCAAACGGTTCAAGCGTTTGATCTAGTAAGCAGAAGATGAATGGCTTCAGAAGATGACTCCCACCTTCCATCTGGAGACTCACTGACACATTTACATGGCAGTGACTCCTGTTGGAGATTCCCAGTGTGGTGCTGTAAAGAGAGTGAGGGACTAGAACTCTGGAGGACAGAGTTCGAATTCCTGCTCAGCGAAGGGAACTCGCTCGGCGAGTGGAACTGGTAAAACAACTCGTTAAAAAGGACTAGAACTCTGGAGGACAGAGTTCGAATCCCTGCTCAGCGAAGGGAACTCGCTCAGCGAGTGGAACTGGTAAAACAACTCATTAAAGAGCTCACTTACCTTGAAAGCCCTATTGGGGTTGCTGTCAGTCAGCACAAAACACACACACTTACCTTGAAAGCCCTGTTGGGGCTGCTGTAAGCTGGTACTAACTGGACGGCACAAAACACACATAAATCCTATTGACTTCAGTGGGGGAATCCCACCTGATTTATTGTTGCTGTGAGATTCCATCAAATTACCTCCCGCTTATGGTGGAACTATGAATAAGCCATCTCCAGAATCTCCTGCCCTCAGCCACCCAGTTCAGCTCTTGCAGATTCAAGCCTGTGGCTTCCTTTAGGGAATCAGTTCATCCAATATTTGGTCTTCCTCTTTTCCTGCTGCCTTACACCAGGAACCGGCCCATACTGCCCTGGCAGCTGCAGGATCAGGGCCAGCTGGACCCAGGACTGGCCAGGTGTTTGCAGGATCAGGCCCTGGCCTGTGTAGTAGCAGCAGGGACTGGCCAGGTGTTTGCAGGATCAGGCCTGTGTACTAGCAGCTGCTGGGCCACTCATGAGGCTCACCTGGAAACCTGGAGGGAAGACCTATTTAAGGAGTGGTTCTCCCTCCCAAAGCTGGTCTCTCCAAGAAAGGTTTTTTTTTTAGTCTCATGTGTGTGGCGCTTGATTTCCCTGCATTTCAGAACCTGGAGGGAAGACCTATTTAAGGAGTGGTTCTCCATCCCAAAGCTGGTCTCTCCAAGAAAGGTGTTTTTTAGTCTGAAGTGTACAGCTCTTGATTTCCCTGCATTCCATTTCTGAGTTTGGTCTTAAGGTTCAACTTAGACACGGATAAAGTGGTATTGTTATCTGCTAATTTCCTCTGATCTCCCTGTGGTGGGGGAGCAAAGAGCGAAGACCTATTTAAGGAGTGGTTCTCCATCCCAAAGCTGGTCTCTCCAAGAAAGGTGTTTTTTAGTCTGAAGTGTACAGCTCTTGATTTCCCTGCATTCCATTTCTGAGTTTGGTCTTAAGGTTCAACTTAGACACGGATAAAGTGGTATTGTTATCTGCTAATTTCCTCTGATCTCCCTGTGGTGGGGGAGCAAAGAGCGAGAAACTTTGCATGTGGCCCTTTTGAAGCCTTTGGACCTGCTTTGGAATAAAGCCATCACTAGATTCTCCACCCAGGCCTGTTTATTTATTCTGCCAATTTGTTGACTAGTCAAGAAAAAAAAAAGCAAGCAACCGGCTTCAGAACAGAAGTGGTCTGAGTTACGTTGAGCCAACCTTGAGGTGGTTGTTATGAAGCTTTTCTTGGTGGAAATTCACCACGCCTGCAGGAATGTTCTCTCCTGTTAGGTGTGCTGGTCCTCTCTTGTGCTACCGGCCACCGGAATGACTCAACCTCTCTGAGATGCTTTTTCAGAATTTCACACTCTGGTGTGTAAGGGTGTTTGTTCCAAACATGGGCCCTGGAGTTCCTTGTGCTTTTGGGTGGACTGAATGAATGAAAAAGGGGTCCTGTGGGGTGGGGTGGGAGCTGACGTCTGTGTCACAGGGAGCAGGAAGATCCAAACCAGTTGTCTTCTTTTTTTTCCCCTTCTACAGGCAGAGCACTAGTCAGGCAAGGAGGGGTTAATTTCTAGGACAGTGCTTCTCGCTTTCTGTCATAGGCACACTCACTCATATACACACAAACACACACCTGCCAGCCAAGCGGCTGCCTTATGAAAAGCCAGCTTTGTGAACCTTGAGGAGCGTCTGTCTCTCTCCGGGAATGACAGCGTCTGTGTGTTCCAGATATTAAATTACTCATAAAATATTTGTCCTGTCTCGGAGGTTGGGCGCGCCAAGCCCTCTCCGAGCCCCCGCCGCCATCTTGCCTCTCACCTCCTGCCCCGGGGTCAATCCTGCCGGCTGGAAAGCGGGCACAAGGAGGAAGAGAAGCGGAGGGCTTGGCCCAAACTAGCCTCAAAAAGGGGGTGCGTGGAGGAAGGAGAATGGGGTGGGAGATGTTTGCTGAGGTGACAGGATATGTTCTGCGGGCCCAACTCTGCAAGAAATGCCCGCCTTGCCTGAGGAAAGTGCCCTCTCTGGCTCAGGAGACCTGGAGAACCAGATTCTCTTTGGCTTCTTCATTCCTTGGGGCTTTGGAGAGAACTGGCCGACGTCCTCCCTCAGAGCAGCCTCAACCGGCCAACGCCAGGGCCAGTCACGACAGCCAAGGCCATCTGTGACCTAGAATCTGCCACGGCTGTCAGGGCGGGTTGCGAGGAGGGGGAGACGCTCTCCCCGGGCCGAGGTTACCATGGGGACGGAGGGAGCACAGCCTGCCTGGCCTGCGTTCAGCTCCAGGCATCACTACCCAGCATGCCTTTCTGTCAGCCCTGACTCCTTCCGCTCTGTTTCTTTCAAGACCTCTCCATCCTCCTGCTTGCTCTTCCTTGCAGAGCAGAAACGACCATCACGGCTTCCCACAGGAGAAGGAAAGGCAGGGCTGGTTGTGACCTCCTGCATTCTTCCCTCCTGTCTTGTGTGTGTCAGAAGGAGGGGAGACACTCTTACATTTGTTCCAAGACCCCTGTCTGAATCTTGGAGCTATCATCAATAATGATTGACTGCTGTCAAGCCAATTCTGACATATTGAGACTCTTTCCAGATTTTCTAGGTAGAAGTGGTTTACTGGTCCCTTCTTCTTCTGGATGTGCTGAGTGATTTTGGCTGTGGAACCAGAGGTTGGGAGTTCAATTCCCCACTCTGCCTCCTGCAAGTAGAACCAGCCTGGGTGGCCTTGGGCCAGCTCCACGGTCCCAGGACACTCCAAGAAGAAAGGCATGGCGAACAACTTTTGAGTACCCTCTACCGGGAAAACCCCCAAAAGGACCACCATAAGTCAGAAATGATTTGATGGTGCATGATTATTTGATTATTCTGGGTGTGCTGTGGGACTGTGCAGCTTGCCAAAGGCTACCCAGGCTCTTCTCCACGGAGATATGGTGAGGAATCAAACTCTTGACCTCTGGCTCTGCAGCTGTGTGCATACAGTACCTCACTGAGTATCCAGGCAGTGAACACAAAAGCCTGAATATTTAAGGGATAGAGCCGGAAGTGTTGACACCTAAGGCTTTGTGGAACACTTGCTCCCAGTTTAAGCAGCCTCTTGCCCATGCACAGGTTGGCCACATGTGTCCTCTTTTACAAAGGACAGTCCTCTCTTTGAAGCTGCAGCAAGACATATCCTCAGTTTGAAGGGCTGTTGAATTAAACCTGGTTGCAGTTTTCCCTTCTCAAGCAAGAGTCCTTGTGCTTTTATTCACATTGTTTTCTTTTTTAAAAAAATAAATCAAGCTGCTCAGCAATTTAGCAGCTTGCTAAACTGCACTTTCCTGGGGGGTGGGGGGAGAAATGCTTTGGGATGCCCAAATCCAATCTCCACCTCTGCTGATCTGGGAA